GTCGGCTCAAAGCTGGTTTCGGTACTACTCAGCTTTCTGGCTCAGCCTCGTACTAAAACACTTTCGACCGGACCTACTATCCCAGAACTGAGTGCCACACCCGAATCTCAGGATTCAGTGGGTGGCCTGGCCACTGTCCGGAATCTCCTCCAAGCGAGCGGAATTCCTGCACCAGTTGCAGACACAATTCTGGCTCCTCGGAGAGATTCGACAAACATTTAAGATGAGGATAGATGGGCCTGTTATACGCGCTAGTGTGTCAGCAGAGGGATTCTCGATCCCTTTTCTTCAACTGTAGTTGAAGTACTGGAGTTCTTACAGTCTCGGTTAGAGGCCGGCTTAGCCGCGTCTACTATCCGGGGCTACTCCAAGGGAATCTCTGCCTTCCATGTACCTGCCGACGGTGCTCTCTTGGGTCAGCACCCTCTTGTGCAGCGCTTTTTAGCAGGCGTGGACAGAATCCGTCCGACTGTCCGGCGGATTAGTCCCCCGTCCCTCTTTCACTCCCGCTGTTAAGTTGGAAGGCTGCCTTTCTTGTGGCGCTAACATCTGGCCGGCTGGTAGGCGATATCCATGCGATGTCTGAGGTTCCTGCTCTGACTGCCTTTCACAAATACAGAGTCAGTATTTGGTTGCCAGACTCTTACCGTCCTAAGATCGCAGGCGCCTTTCACATAACGGCGCCTATTGAACTGCCAGCTTTCACTCAGCCTCCATCGTCCGGTACCTCTCTTCGGCGTGCTCACGTCTTAGATGTCCGTAACACTCTCAAGGCTTATATCAAACGAACAGCTGCTATCAGGAAAGATAAGCAGCTGTTCTGCTGTTATGGCAGTGGTAAGGCTGGTCTTCCGGCGAACAAGCAGACCATATCTATGTGGCTTGTCTAAATGGTTAACTCTCCCTGATGGGTTAAAGGCTCATTCGGTTAGGGCAGTGGCGACATCTAAGGCATATGCCGCGGCACTGCCCATTGAGGAAGATCTGCTCAGCGGCTATTTGGAGCCGACCGAGTACGTTCATCCGCCATTATCAACTGGACAAACACTCACGGGAATGTGCTCAGTTTGGCCAGACAGTTCTCACCAGTGGGCAGTGTCGTGACTCTCTAGCCAAATGAGCTTTCGAAGTCACGATTGTTTTTATTTCCTGGTGTCGGTTTTATAAAATTCCACAATTAAGTGTATTTTCTCCCCTCTCTCGGCCCGGCTGTGCCTTCGATTGAACTAGGGGAATGTTAGCCAGACAGAATACCTTCACGACTTCGCCATCGTTGGGGAGTCTGTATTATGCTTATATGTTCCCCAAGGAGGACTTCTTCTGAAATAGAATTGTACAAACCTGTAGAGGTTATGAATTCTTTAAAGCAAAGTCCTCCTTGGGGAGTCTGACACCACCTCCCTCATTCTGTCTGACACGCTCAGCATGAAGCGTGAGGTTTGAGAGGTAAGCAGCCAGAGTTACCTGCTCTTGGCTGTAGGGCCCCTATTGAGGGGCCCTATAGAGGTGGTCTCATTAAACAAAATGAGTTTTTGTTTGGTAAAATATTTTATTGAAATATTGTTACAACTGTCATAGGTATGTTAAAATGGACATTTTAATGCTTATATGTACCCCAGGGAGGACTTTACTTCAAAGAATTCATAACCTCTACAGGTTTGTACAAATTTATAGCCAGGTTTTAGTATACACACAATGCACCATACATGGTATGTGAAGGTATGTTCCAGTGTGAAAATGAATGAAAACAGACCGAATTAATGCGCATAGCGACTAGTAAGAAAACAGACTTGTTTCCTGCTCAGTAATTCAAAGAGTTGGAGTCTGGGGGTAGCCTTAATACTCCTGATTAGTGATGCAAGAGTACAACATGTAAAAAGTGTGTAGTGTAGAGCCAGTAGTGGAGAGCCACTAGTGATATAGCTGAAAAAGCTGTAATTCAACTTGGTGATTCAGTAAACCTTTTGACAGATATTGAAAGGGCTGTTGTTATGATAAATGACAAGGAAAACTCTTACAATAATGGGGAATGTAGGTATTGGTTGAGTTTGGTTACCATGGTTACACTAAAGCAACAGCTGGGTCCCATTTTATACAGATCCCTTCACAGATATCTGTGTTTAATAGTATGAACTACAGCTTCAGTAATATTTCAAATTGTCTGAGTGTTGAAAATGGCTTTGTGAACCAAATCTCATTAAAATCACATTCTGATGTAATACCTCTGAACATATAGGTCAAAGCACACTGTAGGAGGTTGCATAAAGTGAACTTTCTATTCAGCCAACCTGAATTAAGGATTCTACATTTTTGGTACAGGTGATCTGCTGCAGTGCATTCCCATACAATGAACTAAACGAACTAAAAGGACAATCTATAAAATATTAAGCAAAGCTGAAGTCTTTGATTGTACATGCAGATATTATTTTCTACATTTTGATGAAAGTAATACTGTATGTACATGTAATCAGTTGCCGCCATTATGTAGTCATGGAGAGATAGCATGAGAAAAAAATTCTGTGGTCTACCATTTTGTCAATCAATTTAAAGGGATCCATCATTGTAGATTTCAGGTTAAACAACACAAGTAACCATGGTGACAGCAACACTTTTCAAAATGTTTTACCCAATATACCATGTATATGAAAAATATTATAACACAGGTGTTTTGAAAAGCATTTTGCTGTATGCCAGTATGCCTATTGTCCATGTCTGTGTCAGGCCATTCTACGAGTTGAGCAGATGATCATCACCGGACTGGCAACCATTCCAAGGTAAGCCCACAAGCTCCGCCTCCATCCACAGAGTATGAATACTTCCCAGCTATCTTTGATAAAGAGTTCCTGCATCAGGTAAGAGAAATCAGTAAAATTGAAGCAAAATAATTTGATACATCTGTTAGCAGGGTTAGTGATGTCATCAACATGGTATTATTAGAATAAAATGATACATGATATATGCTTATTGATGTGATAATGAAATGGTTTTGCTGTGTCAAACAGTTCTGTACCACAGGGCAAAGTATTGTCTAATCTATGTCTGTCTTTAGTTTGGCCATGCCATTGAACAGGAGATCTTCAGGAATGATTAAGCAGCATATTTTTGAGGAGGTGGAGTACTGCATTTTCCTTTGGCGATCTAAATCCTCATTCAGATTCAAAATGGCAGTTTCATTTTGGAACCTATAGAGTCCAAGATATTTAAATGCTTGAAGTGTGTGATCTGTGTGTTCCAGGTTCTGAGACTGCAGAACACACTGGAGCATCTGACAACAAAGCTTCGGCAGCGACACCGTGAGTCTGCAGGATATTTGCTTCCAGCCCATGGCCAGTATACTAACTGTACCATTCAGAGTATCTTCCAGTACTACCAAGACTCGCATGAAATGCTGGACAAGTCAGTAAGCGACAGCTCGGGTTTCTTTGTGGAAGGATTACCTGGACCACTTCCTCTACTGTGTCAGGTGAAGATCTCTGATCCTTAGTACCTTGTCATACAATGTTCATTGACCATGAGTACATACAATATAACCAAGATTGCTTGAGATGTCTGAAGTCTTGGAGGGGTGGTGTGGTAGCCCTAGTGGTTAAGGCATTTGCTTGTCAGCTGAAGACCTGGGTTTGATTCCCCACATGGGCACTATGTGTGAAGCCCATTTCTGGGGTCCCGCCGTGATATTGCTGGAATATTGCTAAAAGCGATGTAAAACTAAACTCACTTACTCACTCACTCACTCACTCCAATGGCTGCTTTCTTTTCTTTTGAGCTTGCAAAATTATAATATCAGGTAACCTGACTAGGTAAAAAAACTTTCCATCTAGTAAAGTATAGTAAATTAACCTAAAAATAAGACCAATGTCTAAATACTTTGTTAGCAGCATGGCATCTTGCCACAACCGCACAAACACACCCTCCCTCCCTCCCTCCCTCCCTCTCACCCCACTCACTCACTCCACCCCAAGTCTGGGGAAAAATTTCTAAGTCATACCAGAGTTGTGACTTTGAAGGAAGCTACTTCAATTGAGATATATGGTTTAGGGATCTTCCATGAACCCTGTATGCGTGCCACACTGCAATGTGATTCTTCTGTAGCCTGGAGTTCTTTTTGTCACCAGAGCCCCTGCATGCAGCTGAATGACACCACCAAGCTCCACACCTCATGCCTAGGAGCGGACGGGGCACCCACCTTCCCCTGGGTGGCTTTCGGAGGAGGTATGATGGTAGGTACAGGAGTGGACTGACTGACTGACTGAGTTTGGTTTCGCGCCGCTTTTAGCAATATTCCAGCAATATCGCGGCGGGGGACACCAGAAATGGGCTTCACTCATTGTACCCATGTGGGGATTGAACCGGGTCTTGGTGATGCAATTAGCGCTTTAACCACTAGACTACCCCACCTTTCATTACAGGGTGGAGGTTACAGGAATACTACTGTTGTAATACTGATGTCAACTGATGGGGCTTAGTTTGAAGGGATTTACCCTGACTTGCCCAGAGGCCAATGTTGACCTTAATACAGAAGATACATTTTTTTTCCAAACTTGAATTTTAAAAATTTCAAAGTACTTTTATCACAGTCATATTGCACTTATGATTATTTTGAGTTGATGCATTTCATAACTAAATAGAAAACAAAAGGCATTTATGTTTTGTTTGACAGTTTTGCATTTAATGAAGTATTGAAATGTTTTTATTTAAAAATACTGACATTTAAAAAACACATTTAAACAAAGTTATGGTGATTTCTCCCAGTTTGTCTGCAAAATAGCATGGAGTCCTGGTAAAATACTGTAATGGTCATGTAATACATGATAAAGCTGGTGTTTCCACCTTTATTCTAGTGAAGTAGTAACCTTTGCTTCTGTCAACAGGTGAGAACTACCATAATGCTACTGCACTGGTTATATCATTCCTGGTCAACAACCATGTAAGCATGAGGCAGACAAGCGCTATGGCAGAAGCGTGGGAATCAGAGTATCTCAAATTCATGAAGAGTTACTCAACCCCAACATGTCTATTGCCTTCTCCTCGGAGGTAAGCATGACATCACTGTAAGGGGCGTTACAATGTTTTGTGAGGAGGCTCTTCCCAATATGTGCATTCCTTCACAGCGAGGAGGTAAAAGCATTGACATCACTGTAAGGGGCGTTACAATATTTTGTTTTCCTTCTCCTTGGAGCTAAAGCGTGACATTAATGTCAGGAAAATTATAATAGATCAGTGATCTGTGAGGGAAGGTTTTGCCCAGTATCTCCATTGTCGTCTCAGGAGTATGTTTGATGTCTTTTAGCATTGTTAGGAACATGTGAAGGAACATTTTGACAGCTCAGTGTAATGAGATGAAGAAATATCCATTAAGCTGTCCTTGTTTTGTTTCAGTGTTAAACAGGTGAAGTGTCAAAGAAATGTGTTATTGAAGCGTTGGCTGTATCCATAACTGTATATGTATTTCATTGTTCAATTTAGCTCTCATTCTATTCTTTCCCCAGCGTTCAATCCAGGATGAGATCAACCGAGAGAGTAGTTCTGACGTCATTACAATCCTCCTAAGCTACCTCATCATGTTTGCCTATATCTCCCTGACCCTTGGCAAGATCAACACCTGTGCCAGATTCTTTGTAAGTCACTCCAGTTTCAAAATTGATATTCTATTTGAGTCCTGTTTATCATTTTTTCTTCATACAGTTTGCTCTGACATAAAATTTTCATCATTATCATGAATTGTATTTGAAAAAGGTTATCTCAAAATTCGAACACTTGACCATTTGGTCTTGTGGACCAGAGTTAACTCTGCAGAGTTACTTCCCTTAGCCTATTTAGGATGGTCATGGAAGCGATCACCTGTATTTGAAGTTTTCACTAAAGTGGTTAAAGTCTGTGACCTAGCACATGTCTGTTTTCATCCACATGTAGAGAGATGGTGTCAAATAACTGAACTGCTGTCTAGCGTGAAATCAAACTATTTCACTTCATTTAACTTGTCGGCTGTTCTTTGATCTGAATAAGCAGTAGTTAAGTTTCTTGAAATGCACAAACGATTTCTATATCTGGACTAAGCTACATTGTAATGATTTTACTCCATGGTGTGGTGTACCTTTGTTGTATTTCATCTTGGGTGGCGGAAGAGCCAAGTAGTTAACGTCTTTGCTTGTCATGCCGATAGATCGGTTCCATTCCACCCTTGTGTCCAGTGTATGAACCAATTCTGGTGTCCTTGGGTCCCGATCCTTAAAACATTTGTAGCGCTCGACATTAAGTAAGCCTATGATAAACTATAGAGTTACGACGAGGTGCGTAACTTTACAAACACTACTGTGGATCAGGACCCTGGATGATACATGGCAGGGGTTCTGTTACAACTGACTGACTCACTGTTACTGAAATACAAGTCCTCTGTCTCTTCCTCAGGTTGACTCCAAAATAGCGATGGGTCTGGCGGCGTGCTGATTGTGCTTCTGTCTGTGGGGTGTTCATTAGGGAAGCTTCTTCAGCTTTCATTAGGCCAGCCAGCAACACTCATCATCATCGAGGTTGTGCGTTCCTTGTGCTTGCTGTGGGGTGTGGACAACATCTTTATTCTAGTACAGGCATATCAGGTAACTTTGGATAAAGCCAGCTTTACCTAGATCATAGGGCGTTAGTATCTGTACTTCAAATATTGTCTTGTGTAGAAGAGTATGCAGTAAAGAACTCCTGATCTCAACCTGGAACACAATTCATTTCTCAATCACATTACAGATTCTGTCATTACTCTGACTGCAGAATGTCCATATCAGTCACACTGAATAACTGCTAGTCCTCTTATAAAAATCATTTTAGTCTTGTGTCTTGGTGCACATTATCTTATGTTGTTTCCACATTGTCTGGGGTTATTCCAGCGTGATGTCGCGGCTAAGCGTCAGAGGACCTGGAGCAGCAGATTGGCCGCATTTTGGGCAGAGTGGGTCCTAGCATGATGCTCAGTCAGTCAGTTGACCTACCATGTATCATCCAGGGTCCTGATCCACAAAGTGTTTGTAAAGGATTCACAGCCTGTGGCCAACTCTATAGAACCTCATAGGCTTCGGTAGCCGTGGCGCTACAAATGTTTTAAAGTTCCGAGGGACCCAAGGACACCAGAATTAGTTCATACACTGGACACAAAGGGGTGGAATGGAACCCGATCTATCGGCACTGACAAGCAAAGGCGTTAACTACTTGGCTCTTCGCCGCAGATGAAATACAACAAAGGTACACCACACCTGGTAAAATCTGGCAGTCGGGCAGAAATGGTTTGTGCCGACTCGAAGGCACTGCTATTCAGAATCGAAACGGCGATGTGGTGAATGATTTCGCGGCTTGAACGACATTGCCGTATCGGATGAACGTAGCAGGTCTGGGCACCCCAACCGCTTTTTAGTGAAACTTCAGATACAGGTGATCCGAAGCACTATGACCATCTAAATGAGCTGAAGTGGCTTCTGCGGAGTTAACTTTCTGATATGATCGAAGTCAATTGTTTGGACTTTTCGAAATGCAATTCGTGATGGCGATGAGGCACATGTCGAGCAAACTGTATGAAGAAAATGATCAGAGCGAGAATATCGGTACGAGCTGGTGACACAGGCGAGTATTCGAGAATGAGCAGGCATCGATATTGCTGCTGTCAGGCTACTGCTGCTACCGTCTGAGAGCCAGGAAGGCTAAATGGACTGATAATCACATGCGGTGCTGCGGCCAGCGTTTCAATGCGACTTCACCTGTTTTGAGGCAAACGAGGACGGCAATGTTCGTACGCTGGCTTTATTTCGCTCACTACAACTTTGGTGACACTCTGGGGCATTTGTCGAAGACGAGCAGCCTGCGTCTCGCTGGGCTGACGTCGCGGCAGGAAAACAAAGGCTATGGCGTCCCCTTTACGTGATGTCGCGCACCTCGTGACCAATGCTGAGGAAGGCTTCGCAAAACATTGGCGTCCTTTACATTAAATAGCTTTCGGAGAAACGTGGGCTGTATTGTTGAGGACCCCGGAGTAATAACTCATGGTGGGGCTGCTCTGTTCTGGCGGCTACTGGCAATGATTTGATTACGACCGGTGGCGATGCGTAACGTGGCGGATTCTCACCTGTTGAAACAGTTCGCCAGGAGATAAAGGTGAGCATAACTCATTGTATGACCATTGATCCAGCACGAACAAACTGGAAAATCTGCTAAATGTGTTTTTAAATGTCATTGACAAATGAAAACGTTTCGATACTTTCATTAAATGCTGAAACTTCAAACCAACATCAAATACCTTTTGTTTACTACTGTTGATTACGTAGTAAATCGGCTCAAAATGTCATGGTCTGACTATGACACGAATAAAGAAACGCTTTTGGTAAAATTCGAGTTGGAAAATGTCTTCTGTATTGGTCGAATGATGACTTCTGAAGTCGGTGAAATCCCGAGCTAAACCCCGTCAGTCAGTATGCAACGGTATTATTCGCAACGGCCTCCGCACTGTGCGGCGGTGAATGTTAAAGACCCGACAAATCGCCAGACCACAATCGGTGAAGCGCGATACCCATGCTGGAATGTTTAACTGAAGCGGTAAACTAAACTCCTCGTCGTGCACCTACTGCATCGTACCTCGTACCAGAAGATGGTGCGTAAGTTCTAGTGGTGTTATTGATGATCGGCGATAACATCTGTTGTTAAAGGCTCGAGCTGAAGCGTTCACGTTACCCATTATTTGTGAATCTATCGGTGAGAATGGCTGCTGAAGTCTGGTATGACAGAAATTTTTCCCGGGTAATGGTAGTGTGAATTGATGGCGTCGACATTGATATACGGGTTGATTTTATGCTGCAGATGGGCTTTTACCGGAACGCTATTATATTTTGCAATAGCCGATTGATGATGAGCCGGTTGGATTTTTATTAAACTTTGTAATGATCCAGCTTGTGGGCTACGCCAATTGCCCGGCGATCAAACGAATTATTTCAGCTAACAATGTAACAGGCGCAAACTTTCGAACATCAATGCTGACGCTGTTAATGTACTCGTATTATGAACGAACGCCAGATCGAGATGTTCGCGTACTCCTGAAACCGAGCATTGGATTTTGACTTGTAACGCTATTGGAATTATAGATATTTAATGAGCAAACTGTCACTACCGGGCTTCAACGATTGCCGGCAGATGCTCCGGTGTTCTGCGGATATGCTGGAGTTGCGATCACGCTCAACGGCTTTAATATCTTGGATCTATAGTTATGCGTTTAATCTGAACTGGAGTAAGCCAAACGTACTCAGCTAATAACCTGGTATTAAACATGCCGAACTACCGGCTCACTTTTACCCGCAGTATTCACAGAGCTTGTTGACTGAAATTTCATTTCATCGATATCGTAACGTCATTTTATTCTAATATCCACCGTGTTGATGACATCATAACTGGCAACAGTGTAATTGTTTGCTTCAACTTGTTTCTCTTACCTGATGCGGGGCCGGTAACTGGGAATATTCATGCTTTCGTGGACGCCGGTCGGTGAATGTCGGCTTTTCCGGTAGATGACACGGTACGAACATCGACGATAGTTTCGCTGCTGGCATACGGCAAATGCTTTTCAAACACCTGTCGATCCTCAATATTTTTTCATATACATGTTGTATTGGTGAAGACTGTTACGATATGTCATAATGATTTTTGTGTTGTTTAACTGAAATCTGATGATGGATCCTGATTGACCAAAATGGAACCACAATTTTCAAATATACTAGACATAATAATGAGCGACACCTGCATCTTTGCATACGGTATTGCTAAATCGAATATTGAAAATATCTGCGTGTACAATCGAAGACTAACAACTATTTACATGAATTGATCGCTTTGGTATCACCTGGCGCAAAATAATGAGATCTGATTCATTTGAGTAAAGTTCGCTTACTGACCTCTACGGTGTTAACATTCATAATGTTCGAAGTGGAGATGTGAATTTTAATACGATTTCGCAAGCCATTTTCTTGCTCGGCTGATTTGGTATTACTGAGGCTTTGTGGTCCTTTTGATAAACTGTCTTATTGAGGGGATCTATTATAATGGACGGTATTTTGCTGGCTGCATCGACGGCAAACAACCAATACCGCTGGTTTTCACCGATATCATTTATCGGCAGCTGGCTTTCGCTATCTCCGAAAAGATTTATAGTCATGAAGTTGAATACGGCTTTTTCAACTATCGCAATTTCTCCACGCGCATCGTTGACATAACGTCATAATCGAGATGAACTGCCCCAGATTAATAACGATTACTGAGCGAGGCTGAAGTCACTGAACACTGTACTGGTATCGTTATGTACGCCTGATCTACTTTCGTTCATTTCACTGCTGGAACACCTTTCATACGTAACCATCGACCATTATCGTGCGCTCTACGGCTATAGGCTGAACCTAACCGGAACGAATTCTTTGGTAAAGTCCCTGAAGACACCTTCAAAGTCATCGTTTTATTATACTATGACGGTTATTGTGTTCAATGAAATATATTTTACCAAACAAAACTCATTTTTGATAATGGACCGCATATGGAACTCGCGGGGCTTTACAACCGGAACTGATCTGGCTTATCCTTCCGTTTCGTAACTGGTGTCAGGCTGAAATGAAGATATCATTGGGGTTTGGCTGAAATGCAATTTATTGATTCTATTTCAGAAGAGTCTCACAGGGAACATATGAAGCTTTGCTGAACTTTCCCCAGCGTGAAGACGATACTGTCTGATAACATTCGGATTCAATGAGAACACGGCGAAGATACGCTTGATGATTATAAGACGCCGAAGAAACAAAAACAGTGACTAATGACTAAAACTGGGGATCGCGGCACTTCGGTAATTATATGACCAGGCTTGAATGATTGTCCGGTTAATGGCGGATGTTTCCATTCAAATAATGATCTGCAATGAACGGTCTTGGCGACTTAGATGGCCGCTAACGGAAAGCGAATACTGTCGGGGAGAATTAACCGCTGAACTGAAGCAACGAATCAATGGAACAACTTTGTTTTGCTTCCAACCATAACAACTGGAGACGACTGGCAAATAAACTTTCTGATAACGACTTTATTGTTGATATAAACAGCAGTCGATGCGGGACATCTGGAGCGATGACGATAAATGGAGCTGAATAACTGACGATTCAATAGGCGTTCGTATTGAAAACTATAACGTCTTTAGGCGACGGAAGTCTGGAAACAAATGCTGACTCTATGACTATTGAACGTGCTTTGGAGACCTCGAACGTCGTAGTTAACAAGCCTGCCCGATGTCCGCCAAGGCGACTCAACCGTGATGAAAGGTAATCGGCCGGGACAATAAAGTTCTCGCCTTACAAAGAATTGAAAATACAGCTGCTCAGAACTCCGACCACTTCAACTTTACGGTTGAAGAAAGGGGATAGAGG